CTAAAACTACCTGTATAAATTTAATTTAGCAATATTTTTATTGTCTAAAATATTGCCTAAAACTTAAGAAAAGTTTGCCACCACCATTACCTTTGAAAGCCACAACTCATGGCAGTGAAGTGATGTAACAGGCTGGGACCAAAATATTTTGTGTATGAGAGTTATGTGTGCATTTCATTTGGATTATATTTGATGTCAAAGTTCAGGGAATTATGAACTCTCAAGTTGCTGGGAATTGGGCAGCATATAAATTTAATATATCATACTCATCATCTATTGCAACCAAATTAAATAAAAATAAACATTGTGACACTTTTAATATGTTAAAAACTACACTCACATTCTTATTATAATCTTTATAACTATCCTAACTATCCCTTCTGGATTACAGAGAAAGGTGACTTAATTAATACCCTTGAGTGAATTTATGTAATGATAAGATTTGAACTAGGGACTTCCTGCTCAGTCCCTGAGCAATTATATTATTGATTTTAAAATACTTGGCAAGTGTTTTTAATTCAATCATTTTCAGGAACCTTTTAATTATATCCTAGATGTTCTGAATATGATTGCTGTAATCATGCACCGCAATTGAATTTGAACACTTCTTGTTTTCTTAAATGAATTTTTCAAAAAGATAAGTGTCTTGGAGGATTCTGCCCTGTATTCAGTTAATATTTTTTAACTTCAAAATCCAAGCAGCCATCTCAAGTTGTAACCATCCATTCATTACTAGGGACTTCTATTGAGTTGAGATGTCATGTGACTGCACCAATTTATGATGGCAATCTCAGCTCTTCCCTTAGCGGTCATTAACTGAGAATTGTGGATTGTTAAACAAGTACCCACCCTAATCTAAGATATTCCAAGCTTGGCCCCTCCCAGCCCCATGCCTAAATTTGATAAGGGATTGACTCCAACACCTGCTACCTGCCTGTTCCCTCCAGCAAGCATTCTTTCACCCAGTTGTCCTCTTTGCCCAGCCCAGCAGCAGCAACAAACATTCACCTATCAGTCTTCTCTCCTCAGCCCCACATGGCTCTCCAGCCCAGCCTAGCCCAGCAAGCTAGCCAGCCAACATTTGTTCACCCAGCTGCCTTCTCTCCTAGCTCCATGCACCAACCTTTTACCTTTTTGGACCCATCTTCTCTAGTGAATGTTTCCTACTTTCTTACCTTTTTTCCTTATTTCCAAAGGTAGCTCGTGTCTTTGAAAAGCTACACTGTCTTTGGAACTCCTTGTTCCCAAAACAGCATAGCTTTCTGAAGACAGCACAGCCTTTGGAAAACTGTTGTCATCCAAAGATCCTCTGTGGAAGCGTTAGTGAACTGGAGTGGACCTTAGTAATAAGAGGAGCCACTGAATGGTTCAACTCCTCAGAACTCAACTCAGGATCAAGAAAAAGACTAGGATCACTCACAAGTTTGCTTCATATAAAGTCTGCCCACGAAGAGATCATGAAATAGAGCCCAGAGTTGCCTCTATGAGTGTTCTGCCCTAGCTACGGACCCCAAAGAATGCAGCACACACAAAGTCTGTACAAACCTTAGTTTACTAAATTAAATCGGTTTTTTCTTTCAAACAAAGGCTGTAAATTAACTTTCTCAACAACCTACAAGAATCCAAAGAATAAATAATCTTAATCTTACTATGGTTGGCAGAAAGCCCAGAAGCAATTTGCAGAGAACTAAGATCAAGGCACGAAGGAGAGTGAACGAAGTTGTTGCCTGCAAATTGCTTAAATAGGCTAAGGGAGTGGCCAATTAGCCCCAAGCCTTACTCTCGAGGAGACCTCCTCCTGAGGAGCCACTCCTGCCTTTTGGCAGCTCTCCACGCCCGTGCATCGAGAAGAGGCTCCTCCTCTTCGTCCTCTTCACTTAAGGGAGCTTCTGGAGGTTCTGAAGGCCCTGGCTGAATCCCCGCCTCTGGCATCACATCTTCTCCAGCCTCATTGTTCGACTCGAGTGTCAGCTGCACAGGCTGCTGGCGCAGCACCACACCAGCATCCTCGCTGTCCGAATCAGCCACCAGCCGTACAGGCCGCGTACGGGCCACAACAATGAGGGAGATGGGTGTTTCTAAATATCAATAAAAAATTAAAAAATAGTGATCTCCAGCTTGTTTGAGAGCTCTGGGGCCTGGGAGAAAAACATCCAGGCCTATGTATTGTTGAGGAAGAACTTTTATGAAAGCCATTCTAGCCATTCTACTGTCTCATTTGGACCTGAGAGTTGCTTTTCAAGAAAGGATTGATAGCTTATAAATTTGGTGTCTTCCCAGCAAAGTAACTTGTTTTATATACATCTTGTCATCTAGTTGGTATTGTACAGCAGGTCATAGAACTTTTTTTGCTCTTGGAAGCAACAACAACTAAAAAGAATACTACCTTATATTACAGTGGGTATCTTGTTTCCTGATATCTTGTACATTTTAAGATTTTCACCTTTAAAGGTTTGATTTTGCAACAATATCCACTAATAATTCTGCATATAATTGGAAAGTACTTTGATTGGAAAAATATTAGTATCAAGTTTGAAAAATATTACACACATGACTTTATTTGCATAGCTTACTATATGTATCAAACATCCTAATTTCAGTCAGTGATTCAGTAAAAACAGTTTGAATTTCAATTCTATCTTGGAAACAAATAAAAGATTTTCAACTATCACCGTGCGGAAAGTTCTGCAACTCCCGGGGAGATCTTGAACAATTCCATATCAACCTGCTTCAGATGGGTACGCTTCGGGTTTGTTCGTTGGGATTATATCTTTCAATGAGCAGTCACATTTTGATTGGCACCACTTGGGGATTGTTCTTTTATATCAATAAATATATTCAGAAGCATGTGGCATTGCAGTCAAGAGCTGTGTAGGTAAAGATATATATATATATATAAAGAGAGAGAGAGAGTCAGAGAAAGACATGCATACACACATACATAGTATAAATAAGTAAATAAATATCTTCACTTAATTATGTTCTTATTCAGAGCTGCAGCCAACAGACCAAACATGCCTTATTCTGGAATGAAATAAATTATTCCTCCTTTCCTCTCAGTTTTCTGTGATATGTTTCCATCTAGAACAATTTATTTTTGAAGTTCTGTTAGCCTCAGGGAATTTCCCAAGCATATGAATACTTTCCTCCTTGTTTCTCAGTAGCCTTGCTTTAACTCAATTTCTGTTAGCACAGGGCATGAGTTTGCTGTTTAAAAAGGCATAATCTATAAATGAGGGTAACATGACCCTCAGAGAAATACAACCATAAAAGGTAACATGTGTGGAGGAGGGGGGGTCTCTCTGAGAAAGAAGAGGAGGAAAGTAACCATTACAGCCTCTTACATTGTACCTCCGAGCAGATTGCAGGGTTTTATACTTTATTATATTATTGCCCTTGAAATTGAACTGCATTTATAACATATGTGAAATATGTATTTTTAACACTAAAGTGTAATTTTCCAACATGATATCCAAAATAAAGTGCCAAGAAGCTATTAACCGCAAATTGAATTTGTGGTATGTAATTTAGTTTAAGTAGTGACAAGTATTATTCTCTTTTTCTTCCCCCACCCCCCACCTTAAGAAAGAAAGGAAAGAAAGAAACCCATTAGTCATTCAGTTTAGCAGCACTGAGGCAGCAGTCAACAAGGGTGTGCATTCTGTGTCCGCTTCAATTGCACACTTCATTTATTTGAACATGGCATAGGCGGCTTTCTCTGTCATGCAGCATCACTACACTATTAGTGAGTTTCGCCCCAGGGCAGCTGGGACGCTTTGCTGGGGCAGATGTTCTTTTCAGCTTATTCACTGGCTGTTCTTGGTTGTTTACTGTTGTCATGACAACGTCTATTTCCATAGCAGCCATGTGGCCTCCTCTCGGAGGCTAAGGAATATAGTTATAAAAGAATCATATTTTGCTCTGTGTCTCTTACTTACCATCTGTCAACTAACTGCATGTGATGGATTCAAAAACTGATTAAGGATAATGGCAAGCCCTCAGTGATAATTTATTAGAAGTAAAACTGGGCCTTATGCAAATGTCTTTGTTGCCTTCAGGGGCGGCTCTGCTTTTTTATATACATATTTTTGAGCTCTGTATACTGATTTTTCCTTTATTAACCCTTGCTGATGGGAGGTGGGGCTGGAAGTCCCAGAATTTATATGCAAAGAGGTAAAGCCTCTTTTCAAGTGAAGATCAACCTATGGTGTATTCAGAAACACATTAGTGCAGGTTTTAACAATAGTAGCGTGTATATAATTGGCTCGTACTCCACCTTTATCACCCATCTCTAATATATGTGGCTTGATAAGACAGCAATCAATTTAGCCTTTGTTCACTAATGAATTGCAGTACAGCATAGTGCAGCTCTTTTAACTTGCATCCAGACAAAAGCTAGGTGGTTGGAGATGAACGAATGGTTGGAGATGAATGGAGATGAAAGGTGGTTAATGATGCACATAAACTTTCGGACACATAGCTAATTAATATGATAAGGTCTATATCATGACTCACAAATCTTAACATATATATATATTCACATATAATACCAAAAGGAAATCATTTTATGACCTCCCACAGTGTGTGAAGCAGACTAGTGTTATTGGAGAAAGGAATCGGACTGGATCCCAATTGTTAAAAAAAAACTTTACCTGCATATTTGAGAGGATTAAGACATGTTGCAGAGAGTCTCCTGGCAAGTGAAAGTCTTTTAAAAATCAGCTTTAAGGTGCCCTAGGACACTGTGTGAATTTGAAAGCAGTAAAGCCTGGCAGATAGATCTCTCTGTAAAAATTGAAAGAGCATAGACTCGTTGATAAGCAGAATTGTGATAGTATGCCAGTTTGTTTTGTATATTAGGACTTTTCTCTGGGTATTTTTTTTTTTTGGTTGATTTAATCTTTTTAAATCTTTTAGCGATTTAGTTCATTTCTGTCAAGTCAAGGGGATGGGAATTGGCCCATTTGTAAAGTAATGTATTTATTGGTTGATTTTTCCAGATCCTGACATTGATGCTGCCACTGCCATGATGCTTTTGAATACTCCCCCTGAGATACAAGCAGGTTGTGAGTAGATATTTCTATAGCCTATAGCACCATAGATATGTAAGCCTAACTCTCTTTCATTAGTACATAGCCTGTTAGGTTTAAAAATAAAACTAGATGGAGAAATCAGATTTCTTAGCTAGACCCTTACTAACTCTTTTACATAGTATTATCTGGGTAGAAGTTCAGATAAGTTTTTGTGAATACTGAACTGTCACAGTTGTATATATCTCATTCACAGAAATAATGATCTATATATGCAACTGTAATTCATATAATAATAGCATGATAAGCATTTTTCTTCTTTAGGGCAGTTAAGAGTTGTAGAGCCAACAAAAATGCTTTGATTTTGATTTGAATTTATTTGCGGGGATATTTATACAAGCATCAGGCATTTTTAGAAATCAAAACTTGAAGCAGAAAGAAATATGTATGTAGTCTACCGGAGTTACATATGAATTAATCAGTTTAAAAAAATAGAAAGGTGGATTTATCGTAAGGAGAGCTAAACAGACTTTTAAAAAAACAAGAGAATCTCTAGTTTCCTAATCCAGTTGTTTACTCTCATACTGGGATGTATTTTACATAGAGAAGGCTTCTTGTCAGATTAAATTTCATTTTTACCCATTTTTAATAATTGGTACCTATTCTTAAAATACAGAGTCAGTTTGGTAAAGGATTAAAGATTTTAGTCACAGAATCAGCTGGCTGACTTAGGCCATTCCTTCCCTCTCTGGACCTTGGAAGAAGGCAATAGCAAACCACTTTCAAAAATGCTCTCTAGAAAACATAATGAATTTATCCCTACAGTCTAACTTGAAATTAAAAACAAAATATACAAAAAGCAAAACTTCAAAATGCATATGAGAGAGAGGGGGGGGAGATTGTGTGTGTGTGTGTGTGTGTGTGTGTGTGTGTAGAATCTTTGTGGTTCATTATCTACCACAGTGCTTCATAGTCATTTTGTGGGCAATTATGACGTTGTTACCAGCACACTTTAAAAATATACTACTAATTGTCCATCATTAGTTCCTGTCGCTATATTAAATTGGAGAGTATATCCATTGACATGGGAGCAAGGCATTTTATAATATAGGTGGCCAACTGAGATAGTAATTTTCACTAACAATATTCTTCACTTTGGTTTTTAAGATGTATTTTGAGTCTTAACTTTTACTGGAACCCCTAAAATAAACTTCTTTTCTAAAACATTAGAAAGCAGCCGAAGGCAGCACAAGAAGCAATGGATGGAAACTAATCAAGGAGAGACCCATCCTAGAAATAAGGAGAAATTTCCTGACAGTGAGAACAATTAATTAGTGGAATAGTTTGCCTTCAGAAGTTGTAGGTTCTACATCATTCAAGGTTTTTAAGAAGAAGCCACTTACCTAAAATGATATTGTCCTGTGAAATTGATTGGGCAAAGAATAAAGCCTGGTCCAAAGTCATCCTATAAGCTATATTTGTTTCTCCTACTCCATCATGACTATCTCTCACTGATTTTGTCTTGAATCTATAGATAACTTTCCAGCATGGTAAGGAATTATCATTAATAAAACAGAAATTAAGTTGAATATTGCCTTAATCAGCTTACAAAGGACCATATCAGTGAATAAAAGTGTCAATAATAAAAATGTTCCATAATAAATATACCTTTTAAAATATCATAAAGAAAAAAGTATCATAGCAGAAGCAACTTAATGCCATAAAATGTTCCTTAGCATAAAATGCATAAATGGGAGATTGTTCTGAAGATAATAAATGGGTTTACTATTCTTATGTTTGAAGGTATCAGAGAATATAATCACTATATATGTGTAGCCATTCAAAATAAATAAAAAATGAACCAAATTTCTGCAATATCAGAAAGTTTTTCATTATAGAACCAAAACTAACAATAAGGTAATTGGTTCATTTAGAATATTTTTCTCTATAGCTCAACAAGTAATTATCCAACTGATAGAGAACTTTATACAGCAGATATGCATTAGCTGCTTGAAAAGGGATTTAAATTTCACTGGAATACTCTGTTTAAGTTTATCAAGACTATATTTATATTTTTCAACATTTTAAACAAACACAATATGATATTCCATACAAATTGATAAATAATCATCAGTTGTTTATTAAAGTTTCTTGGTAATGACTAGTATAAAAGGCACTATCTTCATCAAACTTATCTTTCCCTGTATATACTTGATTTCTCTCAGTTTGTAGACTGACTCCATTAAGCTCTCCATTTAATCAAATAGTAGAATGGATTAATGTACTGAGGGATCAGGATTCCATGCTGCTGTGTAATTGTTGCCTTTATTGCATATGATAAGGTATTTTATGTTCTTTGAGTTGGAGCAATTTGGGAACAGACATTTTGGGTTTGGCTGGACTATGTATTATAAGGTTCATCTTCCAAAGTTTGCATTTGGCTTTTCCAATCTCTATACGATTGTAAATTGATTTATTGGTTTCTATGAAGAAACATTTTTACTTCCTTATATTTTCCCATATATTACCTATTGATGTTTCCATGTTTAAGAATATTCTGCGTCTAAATCAACTGTTGAGACAGATTACGAATGCATGCAGTCTCATAGAGGGATTTCTGAAGATACAGGTATATGATGTGAGTTAGACCACATTTTAGGTAGGCACATACCCAATTCTATATTTATTTATTTTTTACTTAACATTGGTTGATGTTCATATGAAGCCACTGTGTTTAATATAGTGTCTTGTATCCAAGTGAAATTCTGGAGGAGTTAAATTTCTGTGGCCTAAAATCAGGCCATCTTCTGCTATTTTTATTGGGCCAGACTTTATTGTGATATAGTCCAAGCACCAGTCCAACATAAGAGTTCTACTGAAGTTTCCCTCTTCTATTTTTTTTGTTTGTTTGTTTAATTTGATAGTAGGGCCAGTAAATCTGTAAAATTGGGACATATTAAAAATGGAAACACTGTTTACTTTTACCACACTTTTTAACATTAGCGACTGGAATTATTTAATATGAACATGGCATTCTCTATTATTAATATAATGGTTAATAGTTAACAAAAACTAAAATATGAAGTGTAACATCATTAAAAAGGCCTTAATTTTAAGTAATGAGCTCTTCATTGTGTCTAATGACAGGACAAAAAAGATTCTTATGGAAATTTTAACATTTGTATAGATCCCTGGCACTTTTGTCCCTAAAATCAGTGATAGTAAGGAAAAGGATATACCAGTGTTTTCACTCTGATATTTTTTAAAGTGAACATATAAAGTATATTCTCTATGGAACTTTTCGTTTGCCCATTAATAATGTTCGCAAGGATAGATATGAGCATGCATGTATGTTCAATAAAATATATTCTAAAAGTTGTGCCATAATATTCAGATAAAGGTTTTAAAGGTTTTCTGATCTATTTTTAAAGTAAAGTTTAAATTATTGCTTAGTACAGATTACATCTCTGTCACTTTTATAAAATAAGGGATTCAGAAGGTAAAGGTAAAAGAAGAACCTCTTTCAACAATCATGGTTAATTCTGCTGTGGGATTCCTAGTAAGTTGAATAATGCAAAATCAAAGTGTGGAATACTTAAGTTTGCAAATCTTATCCAAAACTTTAGATGCGTTCTGAATGCCTAAGTTAGTCCATTTGAGGTACCTTGGTTCAAAAGGTTTTGCCCTATGGTGCACTGTTTCATTCAGTTAAAGGTTAGGGAATGAGAGTTTCGAGGTAGGTAGGTAGATAGATAAGACAGAGAGACAAGACAGACTTGCTACTTACAGAATAACACAAATAACTGAGATAGAATCCTGGTCCAATAGACCCACAACTAGGAGAGTTGATAAAAAAGATAATAAGAGATAGCACAGATGGAACTGACTGCCAAGGAATAAAAAGAATGTAGCAAGCGCAAATAGAGATGGGGTTCCTTCTTAAATTGATTTAGAAAGTTTTCTGGCATATTCCTCTGTGCACCTCCCAGCTGTCAATATCGTTCTGTGTTTACTCATCAAAGGGATTCCTTCTGCCTAAAAAAAGCATAGGTAAGACCCAAATTCCACAGTTTTGAAAAGTATTGTACTATGAAGCTAAGCCAGAGACTTTTCCAAGCCCATGTCTTTCCAAATATTTTGCTCTACAACTCCCCTTTTAATTGATTTTGTGGTGTGCCAATTGAGGTTAGATTCTCTTTTATTTCTGCCCTATGAAAAATGATAAAACAACAATTCTCAGGGAAATATAATGACTCAAAATGAGACAAAATAAAGTTCTTTTTAAAGTCGGATTAGTCAACCTGGAGATTTTCAGAAGATTCGGGTTTCAGTTTCCACTTACCTTAACCAACTTTCCAATAGAAGTAAACTGTGGAAGTTGGGAGAAGACATGACGTTGTCTAGCCCCAGTCTAGAATTGCTTCAGTGTAATTACAAAATAGACTTCTGTTAGCTCATTTGAAGAAATGGTTATGTTAAATTGAGTCATCTAGTCTGTTCTCAACATTTGTAAGCTTTTACATATATATCAGGCTTTATCTTTTAAGCAACTGTCATGAAATGAATAAAGTAACTTAAATGTGTGAGAGAACCGCTACTATTGGGAGTGTTAAAAGTGTTTGCTAGACTGTTCTCTGGCTTTGTATTTATGGACTGTGGTAGTAATTTTCAGTGAAATTATTGTTTCCATAGAAACAGGATGTTTATGCTACTTGCTCTTTTATCCACTGTGGGGAGCTGCTGTCTCATGTTTGAGATATGCCAAGTATTAAATGATATGTAAATATCTTTTAAAATATAAAATACATTTTTGTTTGTTTATTTTAAAGTTAACCTTATTTGTGCAAAATTAAGGCAAGGTGCTATTAAAAGCATTTATAAATTCAGATCCATAACGTCATTTGCAAACAAATATGAAATATACTGTAGATAGATGGTATAAATATCCAGACATGCTACTGATGCAAAGTTTCTTGGAGTTGCAGATCACATTGCAAGTTAAACGCACAGTATTTGAGGAAGAAGTATGTTTGTGA